ATCTCGGAAGGCGCACCAGATGAAGGAACTGACAACACCTGTGTACTATGAGTAGATTTGGCGGTCTTCTCAAGACTACTGTTATCAATACTCATAGCGTTATGAGGTATTGTCACTTCCAATACATCCTTGCTAGCTTCCATGGTTGCATGAGACACGACACTGGCATAAGTCTGTTCATTAACAGCATCAGTTTTATCAATATTATCTGACGCTGTTCGTGATACAGTATTCCCAGCAGAAATAGAGGCTTTACGAATAAGCATCATTTTAGTTGGTGCCTTCTTCGAAGACCGCTTTCGTTTCTGCCCAGAAACGGACGGCGATGATACAAATTCATCGAGTTCTTGGTACTTATTGAACAAATTCGAAAAAATTTCAAAACGACTTGTTAATGATGTAAAATCTTTCTTAATGGATACAAGCTCCGATTGCAAGTCTTTTACAAAATTATAAAAGTCGGCAGAAAGTTTTCTACAGTGAACACAGCACCAACGAACGCCAACATTGTCTCTAATAGTATCAACTACTTTCGCGTTGATACGAGCACACTTAACATGCCACTGATTTAAACAAAACCAACATGTAACGCACAATTCATCATCGTTAGAGATGTTACACAATTCATACGGACAGACCATTGTAAAAAATGTTTAATTCAAATATTTGAAAAAAAAGATAAAATTCAAAAAAGTAGCTGGAATTCGTAATCCTTTAATTTCTACAAAATAAGTCTTATTGGCAACTCTGTTTTGAGAAGATAATAAGAAAATAAACAAGAATAATGTTACAACAAACAAATGAAGAAATGTAACAAGGGAAACAAACAGGGAATGGAACACGGAATACCAATAAGAAAATAAATTGATTTTTATTATTTATCACAAAACTCACTACACCAATTAGCACAGACAAATAAAAAATATATTTTAAACACTGTTAACACTTTTTAAGATTCACAAACGGGTTAAAAAAACACAAAATAAATATTTTTAATCAAAAACAGGAGCACGACAAAAATTTATCAACAATCACGACAGGGTTGCCAAACTATATTACCTATTGGTTCACCTAAAATTCAAATTGTACCAAATTTAGTACCATTTAGTACCCATAAGTATTATTTTCGTAAACTGAATCCTGACCCCAATCCCACACCCCTACAGGTATCCTGACTCCAAATTTCATTTTTCCCGCTCTATAGGATCACCCAAACCAAACTGTACCGATTATAGTACGATTAAGTATTTTCGTACACATAAATACGTAAATGGTACCATACACGTAAATGGTACCATATTTAGTACTATTTAGTACTTCTCGTACGGTTCTAGTACGAATTTCCAAAAACCAAGCCTTATCTGTCACCTTTGGACCAAGGTTTACCATCACACAAAATTTCAAGATTCTAGCTTCAGCCGTTTCGTCTGGGCGTTGATGAATCGTTAAATCAGTCAGTCAGTCAATCAGTTTACTCTTTTCTTAGTATAGATTAGTACCTTTTAGTACCGTTATAGTACGAATTTCCAAAAACCCAGCCTTATGTGTCATATTTGGACCAAGAGTGACCCTCACCCAAAATTTCAAGATTCTAGCTTCAGCCGTTTCGTCTGGGCGTTGATGAATCGTTAAATCAGTCAGTCAATCACTTTACTCTTTTATTAGTATAGATATATTAGCAATACAATCCATATAAAAATATGAATGATTCGGACCGAATATTAGTACTTGGCGATTTTAATATGCCATCTGTGAAGTGGCTTTCACTGCCAGATTCATAACCTCTTACTCCTTTGACATCTGATATGAATTTAAATCAATCTACTTCTAAAATTATTATTCGATTTTGTGACATCAACCTCCAACAAATAAATAATATAGTAAATAATCGTGAGAAAATCCTTGATCTAGTTTTTGTAAATCATACACCATATTTTGAATTAATTATAATACATTTTATTTGATCTCCTGAAGATAATTATAACCCTACTTTATGTATATCCATGATTGCTTAATTTCTGACAATTCGTCAAACTCATTAAAAACTACTTATAACTATAAAAAACAAACTTTAGCAAACTCAACTCACTTATCTCATCGGTAAATTGGACCTCTATATGCCTTTGTAAGAGTCATATTGATCTCGAGTTTACAATAGATAAGAAAAAGTTCTTCTAAGCCTACAATTTTATAATTCACTATACAAGAATTTTCGAAAAACTCCAAATTGCAGAATGTTTGCAGATTTTTTTGACACTACCTATTCAAATACTACTTATCAGATTAAAGATCCATAACCTTATGAACTATTAAAGATAGATCAAATATTTATGCCCTTCTCACAAAGTCGAGAGGTCTCTAAAAATCTACGTAGTTTAAAACCTATTAAATGTCCAGGTACTGATGGTATACCCAGCATAACGTTAATATTCAATTATTCCCTTAAATTTTGTTATGTTCCTACTTGTTGTAAGAAGTCCTATATAATACCCGATTCTATTTCTATTGTTTGTAAATGATTTGCCAAATTCTGTATCGCATTCCAAATTGCTACTGTATGCAGATGATGTCATGTTGGTCATTACCCATCATTCTGAGAAGCAAGCTGATTTACTACAGCATGATTTAAATAGCCTATTTCAATGGTGCAGCTTAAATTGTATGGACATCAATTTAAAGAAATGTAAACATATATGATTTTCCAGAAAATCTTCTTTGATAAGACAGTACTATATTAATGGTTAGGTTTTATCAACTGTAGATTCTTTCGTTGATCAAAAATTAAATTTTAACAATCATGTTATATCTGTGGTAAATAAAGCCTATGTTGTTGTTAGGATTTATAAAACGGTGGGCCAAAGAATTCTCGGATCCATATATAACGAAACAACTATTTACGTCTCTTGTATATTTTGTAATATATTCTGATAAAATCTGTGCAGAAACAATTTTTACTTTTTGCACTTAGAGGTTTACATTGGAATTGCCATCTTATACTAGCAGGTTAAAATTAATACGATTGCCCACATTAAAAAGTAGACGTAATTTATTGAATAATATTATGGTACTAAAATTTTCTAATTTCTTCTATAAGAATATATGTTTCAGTCCGATCAAGTATGTTATATGTAGACTTCCAACGCACGAATTACTCTATGGGAGATCCTCTTAGTAAAATGTGTATTGACTTTAACTCTGTATACTCTAATGTAGATTTTTGCTTGAGCGTAGAATAAATAAAATCTAATATGATTGTATTTTTAAATGATGAAACTGGCTGTTGAAGAAGATTCTGTAGATGGGTTTTCTATTCCACTCTCAAATCCCATCATGATATGGATCATGGTGTGTACGCGATCCCTATGTAATGGGAGGTCGCCCTCTCGGTCGGCTGGGGTGAGATGCGAGGGAACGTCGAAAAAATATACTGTTGTCTAATTTTATATCAAAGTACCAAAAACAAAACTTACCTCCAATTTTGACGAAATTCTTCGTCCGATTTCAAGCAAATTGTGCACCAAACAGGGTCTTTTCGTTTTGTGCTCATTTTATGAATGAATTTATGGCGATAAATTCTTTATTAAACGAGCATTCGCCAAAGAATGTTCGCACACACATAAACGAGTGAGAGCACACAACAACGTTCGTTTCGTTTGGTGGTTGAAATTCTTTCTGACATTCTCTCACGAATGAAAACAAACATTCCCAAATTCTCGCGAATGCTCAAAACGGCAACAACAAACATTCGTGAACTCAATAGTTGTTCGACATGTGTGCTACGCACACATTCTTTCATTGTTTCTGTGTTTAATTTTTTATGATATTTTTGTTTGTTGTTGTTTTTAACAGTGCTTGCGAGCATTCGCGAACATTTGTTTTTTGAGTTTTTCAAAAGAATGTTCTTCAGCAACAAATGCTCGCGAAAGAATGAATCGATGACGCTTGCAGCGAAATTTTATCGTTCGTAAATTTTTCGTACAAAGCGAACATTTGCGAGAGATTGCAAATGCTTGTTCATTCATTGTAACTTTCTCATTCGCGATAAATTGAAAACATTCGATTTCTCTCCCGTGAGCATTCGTGAGAAAGAGTGTATTTTAATCATTCTTCACACCCTGTCACCAAATATAACCAACTGTATATGATTAAGCGTGGTTTTACATTTATCGGGATCGGTGTTGAGAATTTCTCTCTCTCTCATGGTAAATTGAGAGTAATTAGTGTTGCGCTATTTTTAATTTTGTAACAAGCGTACTTTTTCTTCAAAAAAGGTACGAATTGACATAAATGTACCAAAACAAAAAGTAGAATTTTTTATTATTCGTGAATACAATTACGCTTAAATTATAACATATATTATTTATGCAAATAACTGGTATAAATATTGGACAATATTTCTCGATAATTATGATTTATTATCATTTGAAGTAGAATTTTAGGTACCTTTTCGTACTTTTTTGTTCCTACCTGTGGTAATGTTTTCCAACACAATTCACAATTTACCACTGAGAGACAGAAACTTTCAACAACGATCCCGATCCCGATAAATGTAAAACCACCAGATTATAGGAGCAAATTAACATATAGCTCTCATTTTGTTCGATGTCATACAAATATGACACTTAAGACCATATTGTATCTTCTAATTAACAGGAAATCTGAACATAAAATTAATATGGCATAGCTAATTTAAATGCACGTAAACTTGTTATGTTTTAATATTTATGATTGTGTTATATTATTTTTTTTTTGCTAGATTCTCGTTATTGAAAAATAATTTGAATTCATTTATATTTGTAATTGTATAATAATTATATTTTTCAGGGGGCTCTGGAGTTCGTTTCGAAAAACAACTTTCAACTGGAAATATACTGCGAATTCGTCGGCTCCTACGTAACCAAATATGCTCCACAATACGTAAAATATATTAAAGAATAAAAAGTTGTCAGTTTTGTCATTTAAACGATTAATATAAATTAAATAATAAAAAAAAAGTTATTATAATGGATGTTCAAGATTTTGAGAGTCTCTTACTATACTACGGTCGCTCGGGACTTTTCCATACCATGCAAAAAACGGCGTTGGATGGTTTATCAAAGTATCCGAACCATTACGCTTTCCGACTGTATAACGGAATGTCCTTAGTATTAGGCCATAGAATGCAAGAAGGTATACGGGAATTAAATCCACTCAAAAGTGATGCGGAATTTGGTATTGCTGCTATTTTAGCATTATTGTATGCACACAATCGTTGCAGCGCAGTTGATAATGAAGCTATACAAAGTTTGGAACAGCGACTCAATGAGGACTTTAATACAGCCGGCGCAATGGCTTTTTACAACGCCAGTTTGTTCCTTTTCTTTGCAAAATGTTTTAATGAAGCCCGAACTTACATAAACAAAGCACTAAAAATAGAAAGCAATCACGAATATTGTATAATTCTTCACGCATGGATTAATATATATCAGACAAAAGTAGATGTAGATGGTAATATTATACAGAGATTAGAGAATATTTTATCACATGTAAACAACATTGACGCTACTCTGGCATTGGTCCGATGTTTCCAACTTCGTGGTCAATTTGAAAATGCCATTAATTGCCTTATACGGCTTTCAATCAGATATCCCCAACTGAATATACCGCTAATTGTAAAAATGGAGACCCAAATTGCTGCATTGAAATGGGATCAAGCGTATGAAACAGCTCTTCGGATAATCAATTTGGAGCCTACAAACATAACTGCTCTACAAATTAAGGCCTGCATTCTTATAGTACGCGATGGTAACCTAAAAGGAGGAATTTCTACTATTCAACAACTTTTGGTTGCTACCGAACGAGTAGAGTTAGGAAATATGAAGCTCATACTGAATATTTGTAAACTTGTTGTGCGTATATGTTCGCGAAATACAGATATGATTACACTGACCCTCCGTTTTATAGACAAAATAATACAAGCAAACCCTACCTATACCGAAAGCATAGTCGAACTGGGCTATCAAAGAATGCTTCTTGGAAACAACAATGAAGCTGCTATTTGCTATCGTTCAGCAACTAAAATTGAAACCAACAATTTTAATGCCTTGTGCGGCTTGACATTGTGTCAAATTATGGAAAATGGACGTTCGGAGCAAGTTCTTCAGCAGATTGATTATTTGTGTGACAAAATGGCAGGCGAAGAACATCCGTTGTTGGCACTGCTGCAGGCAAAAGTTGCTAAAAAAAGTGATGACGCAATACAAATTCTTACGAATGCCACAGAGAAGCACATGCGTAATTTAGAAGGCGAATTATTCGGACCCGAATATCTTCTGAAATTAGATCCTGAGTTTCTACTTGAAATTACATCGGAATTTTTACGTCACTCACCTTTACAAATGAATATTAAACAAGGATTAAACCTAATGCAGGACACGGTACATATAACATTAAAACATTGCATTTCGATTTTGGAACTCATTCTTAAATATTGTCCTGCTCATATCAATGCAATTTTTGTACGTGCAAAAGTGCATTTTATGTGCAGTGAACCCCATCTGGCATGTTCCTTATTGCAACGAATTGTCAATGATATTGATTCAACATACACGGATGCCTACTTGCTTCTAGCACAAGTTCAAATACAAAACCAACAGTACATAAAGGCGTTACAATATCTGGAGATGGCACTGTCTTTTAATTTTGCTGTACGCGAAGATCCGAAATATTATCTTCTCTTAGGTATTGCCCACAGACAACAACAACAGTATTCAGAAGCCCAAAAGAGTTTTATGTCTGCCATACATATTTTGGGAAATGAATCAAGTTCATCTGGGGGGAAACCCCATCAAGGAACACACAATAACTTCACTGTGGCAGATAGAGTAACTTTGTATTTGGAACTCATTGGTACATATAAGGATATAGGAGATGCTCAAGGTGTATACGAGAGTGAACGATTATTGCAATTTGCTATGGAGGAGTTCAATAATACTACGGAGGAAGGACGTCTAGTTATCGCACACGCAGAATTCATGTTGCAAAATGCTAATGTGGACAAAGCCATAGAGTTGCTATCGGCAATACAACCCGGACAATCTTATTTTATACAGGTGGTTATATATAAAGGCAGACTTCTCGATTCTATATAGATAAATATATGTTTATAATCTTTTCAAGGCCAAAACACATCTGGCGAATATTCATTTACATAATCGCAAGGATCGAGTAGCATTTGCAAGATGTTTTAAGCAATTGGTTGAGTCATGTCCTGAGGCCCAGAGTTATTTGATTTTAGGACAGGCATATATGTCAATTCAAGGTAAAATGTAATAATTAAAATAGGAACAAATTTTAATCTTAGGTTTTCGCATAGAACCGGTTTTAGCAATCAACGCATACCAGAGGGCATACGAATTGAACCCACAAGATTCAAATTTAGCCAATAAATTGGGTCGTGCTTATATAAAGAGTCATCAATACGCAAAAGCCATATCATTTTATCAACATGTCATCAAAACGCATCATAACTTGAGTTTGGACTTGGCCGAACTTTTCCTGAAACTAAAAAAATATGAGGATGCCCGTGTTATATTAGAGGAACCTGATGATTCGATTCAAATGTAAGTGTAATATATTTATGTAGTGATATTTTGAATTAAAAGTATCGTTACGAATATAAATTTAGATTTAAGTTGCTTTAGATGAATTCCGTTAATTTAAGAATTTGAATTGTAACGTAAATTTCTACTACGCAGTTTATTTGAATAACTTCACAACAACAACTACTGTATAGATTTTTCTACATCCTTCCATTTTCTCTTTCATTGTCTATTTTTTTGTTGACGTACAATTCTTGTTAAACGTCATCATTGATGATCGCTTAATTCCTCTTTCTTTGTTACCCCCTCACCTGTATATGTGTTGTTGTTATTGTTTACTCAATGTAAGTTTGTATGTGTTGTTGTTATTGTTTACTCAATGTAAGTTTGTATGTGTGTTTGTTGCATTGGTAGATTGTTCGTGATCTAGGTGTTACCAGATCGTCTAGAAACTTCTGTAGCTACAAGCAAGGCACATATAAATAGGGGAAATGGAAAGGCAGTGAGTCAGTTGTGAATCAGATCGCGAATTGAAACCGTCGAGTAAAGTAAAGTGCAAAGTAAAGTTGTGTGAATAAAATCATTGTAATAATCGTAATCAGAACGAACCCGCGTTTTATTTGGTACGAACTGTATCGGGAAATAAAACAACGTCTACACGGGAATAAGTGAAGTCCAAGAACGTAACAATTGGTGTCGGAAGTGAGATTACGATAATACTACGATGAAATTTAAGGACCTACGAGTGGAAGACTTAAAGAAGGAGCTCAATAAATTGGAATTGTCCTCTACTGGCAACAAGGCTGAGCTACAAAAACGTCTGTTGGATGAGTTCGAGCGCCGTGGTATGAACATCGATACATATGAGTTTGACAGTAAGGATGAAGTGGATTTATCGGAAATGGGCGAATCCAACGGTGGGGAAGTCTCGTCAGTAGCTGCCAAGGGTGACGATTTCAGAGAAATGCTGGCCAAAATGTTTGAGGAAAATTTCAGAAGGTTCGAAGAAAATTCCAGAAAGTCAGAAGAAAACACGAGACGAATGTTCGAAGAGAATTCCAGAAAGTTAGATGAAAATTCGAGAATAATGAACGAGAAACTCGAGAACATTACAGAAGTTATTGGAAGGAGAGTGGAAACCGTGGAGGTCCAAATTAAAGAGTTGGATAAGAAAGTGCAGTCGGTTGACGAGAAGATTCTGTCTGTGGATGAGAAATTTCTGGTCCACGACCACAGGGTTACGAATCTGGAGAAGAAAATGACGGAGCTGGAAATTAAAGGTGGCCCGGTGCGAGTTCCTGATAACACACTAAAAATCAAACCTCCTGTATTCGACGGCTCTACGTCATTCAATGTTTTCAAGTTACAATTCGAGACAGTGGCTTCTAGAAATTCGTGGAACGACAGCGACAAAACGGTTGCATTACTTCTGGCATTGAAGGACAGTGCTGCTGATGTTATACAGAGTATTCCTGTCGCTTCTAGGAATAACTATGAAGATGTTATTGCTGCACTGGAACGTAAGTACGGTGGCGAACATAAACAAAACATCTACCTTATGGAACTAAGGGGAAAAGTACAGAGGGCAAACGAGACGTTACAAGACTTTGCAGCTGAGGTGGAACGTTTGGTGCTAATGGCGTATCCAGGAGAGAATCACCCATTGCTGGACCGTATGAAAATCGAAACTTTTGTGAATGGCATACGTGACCCTGAGATTAAATGTGCAACATATGCGTCACCAAAAGCGTCATTTGCTGAAACCGTGTCGTTTGCCCTAGCCCAAGAGACGGCCAGAATAATTGTTAAGCCCCAGACCCACAAGATTCGCCAACTGGAGACCGAAGGTTGCGAACCCAAATCTCTCGTTAACTCGATCAAGGACGCCATGAGGCAGGTAATCGAAGAAACAAAGTTAGTAGGGATGACTAAGCCCAGGATTAGGTGCTTCAACTGCGATAAAGCAGGTCATATTGCGCGCGAATGCAGAGTTAAGCGCAAACGATCTAGGTCGCTGTCACCACCTCCAACGAAAGATGGTAGAAGAATGGATCAACAGTCCAGCAAGGAGCCACCGTTAAACTAAATCGAGCCAGTCCTGTGGGGCATGAACTGGCTCCCATCGACGATGGCCCCACAATCTCCATAGCAATAGTACAACAGAAAAGTCACAACCTAACAACAACTGGGTACATCAATGGTGACAAGCGAGTTCTGAAGTTAGATACTGGCGCATCAAAGTCCATCATAAGATCAGATCTGGTAAAGGGAAAAATAACGCAACTTAATGGAGTCAGACTGCGCACAGCAACGGGGGAGCCCGCGGCAGTACACGGCAAGATTACCCTGAGACTAACTATTGCCAATAAATCGGTGAATTACGAGTTTATAGTTGCCGATATCGTAGACGAAGTGATAATAGGCGCAGATTTTATGATTGCCTTTGGTATCAATCTGGATATGAAAGAACGTGTAATGACCTGGTCTGACGTCGAAATTCCGTTAAACGTGGGCTACGATGAAAGTACACCCATTAGACGTCTGACTACGGACCATCCAGAGATAATACCGCCCTGCGCCGAAGCAATAATATGGGTACCAATGAATGGAGATTGTGGAGCCGAGAAGTTGTGGGTGGTGGAACCAGCAGAAAACACAAACAGTAACATCCTAATAGCGAATGCCCTGGTGAAAAGCAACAAGGACGGATTGATTCCTGTTAGAGTTTTGAACCTATCAAACAAGCAAGAGCAGATTTACCAATTTTCCGATGTTGGACAATGCACACCAGCTGAAGCTGTAATTAATTTGGAAACTAGCACCGAAAAGCCAGCAGCCATGGAGAAGAAGCACCTCGACGGCTACATAAAAGAGTGGACACACCAATTATCACCTTCCGAGAGGAACAAGGCTAAGCAGCTATTATGGAAATATGCCTCTACCTTTGCGTTGACAAAAGAGCACCAAGGAAGAACATCAGTGGTGAAGCATGAAATCAATACAGCAGACGCGAGACCCATTAAACAGCCTCCAAGAAGTGTTCCCCTGGCAAAAAGGGACGAGGTCCAGAAGCTGATAAGTGAAATGGAAAAAGTGGTGTAATAGAACCATCGTCAAGTCCATGGTGCTCCCCAGTGGTCTTGGTCAAGAAGAAAGACGGAAGCACCCGATTTTGTGTGGACTACCGAAAGTTGAATGATGTCACCAAGAAAGACAGCTATCCGCTCCCAAGAATCGACGACACATTGGACACATTAGCCGGGACGTCATGGTTCTCCACCCTCGACCTGCAGAGTGGGTACTGGCAAGTAGAGATCGCCGAGAAAGATAAGGAGAAAACAGCGTTTGGCGTAAATGGGGGTCTCTGGCAGTTCAATGTCATGCCATTCGGACTCTGCAACGCCCCGGCTACATTTGAAAGGCTGATGGAGCGTGTGTTAAAAGGGCTGCAGTGGAAGTCGTGCCTCATATACCTGGATGACATCATAGTCATGGGACGCAACTTCGACGAACACATCAAGAACTTAAAGGATGTTCTACAGCAGCTTTCGTCTTCAGGCCTCAAGCTGAACCCAAAGAAGTGCAGTCTCTTCCAACGAGAGGTGAAGTTCCTGGGGCACCACGTGACGCCGGAGGGCATATCGACGGATAAGGAGAAAATTCAAGCCGTCAGAGATTGGCCGCAGCCCCGAAATCTCCATGAGCTGCGAAGCTTTCTGGGTCTCTGCACATACTACCGTCGATTTGTCCCAAATTTTGCCAACATCGCCGCCTGTCTACACCGCTTGACGCAAAAAGGCCAGAGGTTTCAGTGGGGCAACGACCAAGAAGAGGCATTCAGAAAGCTCAAAGACATGCTATGTAGAGCCCCCATTTTGGCGTACCCTATACCTGGTGGCAAGTTTGCTCTGGACACAGACGCAAGTGCGTGCGGTATCGGTGGCGTCCTTTCCCAGGAAATCGACGGACAGGAAAAAGTCATCGGGTACTACAGCCGGACATTGTCGAAACCTGAGCGGAATTACTGTGTGACGAGGAGAGAGCTGCTTGCTGTCCTTGAGAGCGTTAAACACTTCCACAAATACCTATATGGCCAGCATTTCCTGCTGAGGACCGACCACGCTGCTCTCCAAAAATCCGGAAGGTTAACTAGCCCGTTGGAGGCTCCAGAGTTATGACTTCAGAATCGAGCACAGAGAAGGCGGAAAACACGGTAATGCTGATGACCTGTCTCGTCGGCCATGCAAGGTAGAATACAGCCACTGCTCAAAGGCTGAGTGCAAAGAGAATATCTGCTCTCCAAAGCAGAGATTCTACAGTCTACTTCTAATAGGGTTGCCTATATCGCAAATGGGAAAGTGAGGACTGTCAAAAATCCATTGCCGACTGGATCGCCAATTGTGAAAGGTGCATAAGAGCTAAAGGTCCAGCACGGAAGAGTCGAGGCTACATGCAGCAGTATAATTCAGGAGCCCCTTTTGAAAGAATCGCAATGGATGTAGCTGGACCGTTCCCCACAAGCGACTCTGGGAACCGGTATGTCTTAGTGGTCATGGATTACTTCAGTAAATGGCCAGAGGTTTATGCTATCCCAAATCAAGAAGCCAGGACAATTGTGGATGTGTTCAGCAAAAATTGGATTTGTCGCTATGGTGTTCCATCTGAGGTTCATTCCGATCAAGGTAGGAATTTTGAATCAGCGATCTTCAAGGAAATGTGTGACTCCTACGGAATCAAGAAAACCAGAACGACGCCCCTACAACCACAATCAGATGGCATGGTGGAAAGATTTAATCGCACCCTGGAAGAACATCTACGGAAAGTGGTGGACAGTGGCCAACGAGACTGGGATGAGCATATTCCAAAGTTTTTACTGGCATATAGATCGGCCATTCATGATTCCACATCCCGGACTCCAGCCAAAGTTCTGTTCGGAAATGAATTAAAGCTACCTGGCGATTTGATATTCGGTGCTACCCCAAACGACGATGTAAACCAAGATGAAGACAGTCAAAACTCTT